CTATCCCTCCATAATCATATAAACTTGATCAACCATTCACCGACTATTTTTTACGACTACCATGCTCAGAGCTGCTTGAAAAACGCGTTTTTCGCTCTCGGGCCAACCGTCGTCTAGTTTGGAGGATCTCAGCCGCTCACGGCACAAAAAGGGCTCCAGCAGTAGATAAGGAGAAGCCGATCAGCAAAAGAAGCAATCCAGTTTCCCATCACAGAAGCGGAGGTCAAGTTCAAGCCCTTGCGTTGTAGCGGCGCGATATAGAAGCAGCCCAAGCATAAAGGCTCTTCAGCGTGATCCTCTTGCAAAGAAGCAATGCACTTTCCCTGCGCCAAAGAAAAAGCAAGTTGAAGCCGAAATGGAGGCTACGTTGAGGTCAAGTTGCGGCGCCCCTTTTTGGAGGATCTCGGCCGCTCACGGCTGGAAGAGGGGTCCAGCACCTGGAAAAAGATAAAGGTCTGAGCTGATGTGGCGGCGGCCCCCTTTTTGGAGGATCTCGGCCGCTCACGGCTGGAAAAGGGGTCCGGCGGTAGATAAGGCGAAGCCGATCAGCAAAAGAAGCAGTCCAGTTTCCCATCACAGAAGCGGAGGTCAAGTTCAAGCCCTTGCATTGTAGTGGCGCAATAGAAGCAGGCCAAGCATAAAGGCTCTTCAGCGGGATCCTCTTTCAAAGAAGGAATGCACGTTCCCTGCGCCAAAGAAAAAGCAAGTTGAAGCCGAAATGGAAGCTACATTGAGGTCAAGTTGCGGCGCCCCTTTTTGGAGGATCTCGGCCGCTCACGGCTGGAAAAGGGGTCCAGCACCTGGAAAAAGGAAAAGGTCTAAGCTGATGTGGCGGCGGCCCCCTGTTTGGAGGATCTAGGCCGCTCACGGCTGTTGCATTGTAGTGACGCCATAGAAGCAGGCCAAGCATAAAGGCTCTTCAGCGGGATCCTCTTTCAAAGAAGGCATGCACGTTCCCTGCGCCAAAGAAAAAGCAAGTTGAAGCCGAAAGGGAAGCTACATTGAGGTCAAGTTGCGGCGCCCCTTTTTGGTCGCTCACGGCTCACGGGTGGAAAAGGGGTCCAGCACCTGGAAAAAGGTAAAGGTCTGAGCTGATGTGGCGGCGGCCCCCTTTTTGGAGGATCTCGGCCGCTCACGGCTGGAAAAGGGGTCCCGCGGTAGATAAGAGAAGCCGATCAGCAAAAGAAGCAGTCCAGCTTCCCATCACAGAAGCGGAGGTCAAGTTCAAGCCCTTGCATTGTAGTGGCGCAATAGAAGCAGGCCAAGCATAAAGGCTCTTCAGCGGGATCCTCTTGCAAAGAAGCAATGCACTTTCCCTCAAGAACAAGAACACTTTTCTCTGTGCAGGCCAAGGCCAGCAGGAAAGAAAGGCTCATGACCCGAGGCGGGGTCGAACCCTCAATCTTCAGGTTAAGGTCCGTATGCTCTACCGACTGAGCTAGACGGGCCTGGCATAAAAACTGTGCTCGGCAAAGTTAGTTCTAAAAGAGGTTTCGGGAGACACAGGTACAGCCTCTGTGTGAGGCAAAGCCACTAAAAAGATCCAAGTGGGAGCTAGTTTGACGTCAGGTTGCGGCGCCCCTTTTCGGAGGATCTCGGCCGCTCACGGCTGGAAAAGGAGTCCAGCACCTGGAAAAAGGTACAGGTCTGAGCTGATGTGGCGGCGGCCCCCCTTTTTGGAGGATCTCGGCCGCTCACGGCTGGAAAAGGGGTCCAGCGGTAGATAAGGAGAAGCCGATCAGCAAAAGAAGCAGTCCAGTTTCCCATCACAAAAGCGGAGGTCAAGTTCAAGCCCTTGCATTGTAGTGGCGCAATAGAAGCAGGCCAAGCATAAACTATCTTCAGCGGGATCCTCTTGCAAAGAAGCAATGCACTTTCCCTGCGCCAAAGAAAAAGCAAGTTGAAGCCGAAATGGAAGACACATTGAGGTCAAGTTGCGGCGCCCCTTTTTGGAGGATCTCGGCCGCTCACGGCTGGAAAAGGGGTCCAGCACCTGGAAAAAGGTAAAGGTCTGAGCTGATGTGGCGGCGGCCCCATTTTTGGAGGATCTCGGCCGCTCACGGCTGGAAAAGGGGTCCCGCGGTAGATCAGGAGAAGCCGATCAGCAAAAGAAGCAGTCCAGTTTCCCATCACAAAAGCGGAGGTCAAGTTCAAGCCCTTGCATTGTAGTGGCGCAATAGAAGCAGGCCAAGCATAAACTATATATCTTCAGCGGGATCCTCTTGCAAAGGAGCAATGCACTTTCCCTGCGCCAAAGAAAAAGCAAGTTGAAGCCGAAATGGAAGACACATTGAGGTCAAGTTGCGGCGCCCCTTTTTGGTGGATCTCGGCCGCTCACGGCTGGAAAAGGGGTCCAGCACCTGGAAAAAGGTACAGGTCTGAGCTGATGTGGCGGCGGCCCCCTTTTTGGAGGATCTCGGCCGCTCACGGCTGGAAAAGGGGTCGAGCGGTAGATAAGGAGAAGCCGATCAGCAAAAGAAGCAGTCCAGTTTCCCATCACAGAAGCGGAGGTCAAGTTCAAGCCCTTGCATTGTAGTGGCGCAATAGAAGCAGGCCAAGCATAAACTATCTTCAGCGGGATCCTCTTGCAAAGAAGCAATGCACTTTCCCTCAAGAACAAGAACACTTTTCTCTGTGCAGGCAAAGGCCAGCAGGAAAGAAAGGCTCATGACCCGAGGCGGGTCGAACCCTCAAGGTGCGTATGCTCTACCGACTGAGCTAAGCGACCCTGGCATAAAAACTGTGCTCGGCAAAGGTGTGTCACAGACAAGGGGATTGGCGGGTCGTAACTTGACAGTGCAAGGGTCGTAATCTCAAGTGCGAGGGTCGTAATCTGTCACATACAAGGGGATTGGCGGATTGTAATTTGACAGCGCGAGGGTCGTAATTTCAAGTGTGAAGGTCACAATTCATAGCCTGTCCAAGCCATTGGGATTGTCAGTCGATGTGCCGTTCCTACTTTCGACCTGGTCTGTGCTTCTGGATTACATGGCATTTTGCCGCCATTGTCGTAATGCCCGGGTGTCCTAAAGTGTTTGGGCGGTTCCCGGTTTGGGGGCTGAAAGCCGTGGTTTTCCTCCAACCACATCGGTGTTCCTCAGGAGTAGTACAGTACCTATCTGTCGTTGCAAGGGTGGTAGGTTTATCTCTTTTCGGGGGGCCTTCGGCCTAGTACACTTCTCTTCTTCACTTTGTCTTCTTCTGAAGGCTGTACATGTGATAGGGCTCGTACCTATTTGTCATTGCAAGGGTGATAGGCTCATGTCTTTAAGGAGGGCCTTCAGCCTAGTACCCTTTTTTCACATCTCTTCTTCACATTGTCTTCTTCAGAAGGCTCTGGATGCGGTATTGCTACTACCTGTCTATGTGTCCTTGCAAGGGTGGTAGGTTTATGTCTTCGACCCTTCGGACTAGTAACGTGTCCACTGCTCTTCTTCACCTTGTCTTCTTCTTTCGACTCCTCATTGTGATTTTTCTGAAGGCTCTGAATGTGGTATAGGGCTAGCGGCTAGTACCTATCTGTCGTTGCAAGGGTGGTAGGTATATGTCTTTTAGGGGGCCCTTCGGCCTAGTACACTTCTCTTCTTCGCTTTATCTTCTTCTGAAGGCTGTGAGCGTGATAGGCAGGCCTTCGGCTTCTGTTCTGCTGATTGTTCTCTTGTGGAAGGTCTGAGTGTGGTATGGCTCCTATCTATCTGTCGTTGCAAGGATGGTAAGTCTATGCCTTTAGGGCGGCCTTCGGCCTACTACTGTTGCCATTTGTCTAGTACTGTGTTCAATGATGTTTCCATACTACCAGAAAAAACCAAACAAACAGTCTCATAATTTCAGATGTCAAAACGTGTAACTTCCGAGACTCAAGTATTGAATGGCTTTTACCTACTTTAGCTGCTGCTAAAAGGAAAGGCGCTTTCTCAAAACAAGCTTTTCCATGGTACAACTCCATTCTTGGGCGAGTGTCCCACACATAATGAAAATAATATGAAACATGGTAGTCTTAACTTTTCTTTTTCATAATTGTGACGAGTGTCGCGCGCATAATTCAAATATTTTTTGAAAGATGCTTCTGTTTTTAGTGTAGTTTTTAATTGTGCTTATTTGAAAGGTTTGGGCTCTATCTTGGCAGGGTACTCCAATGAAAATGTGACCAAAAATATGCTATTATGATTATTATAGTTATTGTCTCTAGTTGTTTGAAAGGTTATGAAGCCAACAACACTTGAACGAATGATAATGCGATGGAAACGTGGAAAAGTAACAAAATACAAATGTGTTCTTTCATTTTTCTTCGGAGGTTTAGGTTCTGGAGCCACGGGGTGTAGTTGGAGAACATGTTTCAACAAGTCTCCTGGAACACGGTTTTGGGCACATGAAAAAAGGCTCCGTAGGACACTTGTTGGAAATTAATTCTTGTCATTACTTAAAAGGCTTGGGCCCTGGAGCCAGGAAATATAGACGCAGAACATATTTCAGCAAGTGTCCTGAAATATGGTTTTTAAGACAAAAGAAGGGCTCCGTAGGACATTGTTGGAAGTCAATTCTTGTAACTATATTTATATATATATATTGATTGGAGAGCTTTGGGTTCTGGAGCCAAGAGTCTGGGAATAATAATGCATAAGAAAATGGTGAAAACAAAAAACAAATTGAAAACCTAGGAAAACATATTTTTTCGAATGGAAACTTGATAAAGGGTCCAACTTTTGAACGGCTAAGTTCCTGCAGCGCGCCTGCAAAATATTGCACGCTTGCGAAAAAACAAGGAAGAAACTTGCAAAAGAGGCAACGCGAAGAAGACGAGGAAAGCAACAGCTAAAACCCGCTTCACTCTGAATTTCTATCACCGGGCGGCGCTGGATGATTTTCCGAAAAAATCACGCGACACCCCTAAGCTCCTTCATCAGCAAAAAAGGCAAACCCACCCAACGTGCAACTTGGTGGGCGCAAACATGGACTTGGGGCCTCAACTCCCCATTTTTCATCCTTTAACTGAGTTCCCCACGGAATCCTGGAAAAACATGACTCCGGTGATCACAAGCGGAATCTGATGCAAGGTGCCCAGCACTTGCAACGCCACAGCGGAAGAGATATGGACGAGACGCATCTCAGCGATTGTCAGAACGGTTATTCCGCATGCCTCGTCAGCAGCTGGCCGCGAGGGCAATTACAAGGCCAGAAAGCCTTCTGGTACCCAAACAAAATGGTATAGATATGGGCTGTGTCAGGTCACAGACGACACAAATTTGATATATGACAAAGATATGATGCACAAGTTGGATCGAGAGAAGTTGGATAGCAACAAGTTTGGTGGAGAAAAACTGGATTAAGAAAAGATTGATGTAGAGGCGATTAAAAATAAGTTTGATAAAGGTAAATTTGACAAAGAATCGTTCTATGTATTTAATTTTGCACGCAATTCGCTCGATGGACATATTGAGGTTGGATGGGGATACGTTTATTTGAGGCAAAATTGAAAAGGAAAAATCGATAGAGACAACTTGGACGGCGGTATACCAGTAGTACCGCACAAGGCGGTGGCAGAAGTTTCAAAAATAGAAAACCTATAGGAGAGCTTGGTTGTTGTGAATCACTGATGGCAGAGCGAATCCATTGATGGAGGGAGATGGTTGGAATGTCGAATTCTCCATCTGTCTATCCATCCATCCATCCATCCATCCATCCATCCCTCTCTCTCTCTCTCTATCTATCTATCCATCGATCGATCGATCGATCTATCGATCTATCGATTTATCGATTTATCGATCTATCGATCTATCGATCTGTCTGTCTATCGATCTATCTGTCTTTCGATCTATCGATCTATCGATCTATCTGCCTATCGATCTACCTATCTATCTGCCTATAGATCTATCGATCTATCGATCTATCGAGCTATCGATCCAGCGATCTATCTATCTATCGATCTATCGATCGATCTATCTATCTATCTACCTATCTATCTATCTTTCTTTCTGCCTGTCTATCTATCTATCTATCTAGCCAAAACGGCGTACACTTTTTCGACATCTCAATTTCGAAAAGTGCTCTGAGACCGTCAGTTTTTTAACTCTTTTGACTTCGAAATGTGCTTCGCGCCACAACGGCGTACACTTTTTCGACGTCTCAACGTCCAAAAGTGCTCTGAGACCGTCAGTTTTTTACACTTTTGAATTCGGAAGGCGCTTCGCGCCACAACCTATTGGAAGCCTTGCTGAGTCCACCCTGGCTAGAGCTGAAATGAGCCCATTTGAGATTTGCACACTCTGAAGCGCTCAAATGGCAAACTACACCACAGCGTGGCCCGAAAGAATGCAGGAGGGGGAGACGAGAAGATTTCAAACAAGAAAATATGACTAATAAAGATGGAGATAAACATCAAGATAAAAATGATGATGCCGCTGACGATGATGATCATGATGCTGAGAATGATGGTGACGATGATGGTGGTGATGATGATGGAGATGGTGACGAAAATGAAAATGATGATGGCGACGATGATGATGGTGATGATGTTGTTGTTGATGATGGTGATGATGATGGTGATGGTGATAATGATGATGATCATGATGATGATGATGATGATGATGTTGCTGATGATGATGATGATGATGATGTTGCTGATGATGGTGATGAAAATGAATACGATGATGATGGTGATGATGATGATGATGATGCTGATGATGATATTGAAAATGACCATGAAGATGACCATAAATGAAAGCTGACGTAGGTCAAATGCCATGTATCCACAGTTTGATGCTTTTGCTGCCCCCACGGGATCTTTGCTCCAGGGCTGGCACCGGAGCTCCAATCTAGGAATTACAATAGATGATGTTTTTACATGCAGGAGTTTTTACACATAGAAGCTTTTACACACAGAGCGTTTACACAGAGAAGCTTTTCAACAGAGAAGCTTTTACACAGATGCTTCATACAGAAGCTTTTACACAGACAAGCGTGTTCTCAAATTCACACAAAAGTTTGTTTACATAGACGCCTTTGCGCAGAGCAGCTTTTACATTTCACCCACGGAACATTTCACACAGCAGTTTTTACAACTAGATGCTGCTACACAGAGAAACCTTTACACACGGTCACCTTTACGCGCGAAGCTTTTACACAGGGAAGCCTTTACACAACGAAGCTTTTACCCACAGACACTTTTACGATTCCCCTGTGCTTTCTGGGGGTGAAGATGTGCCAGCAATCTGTAGCATTCTGTAGCTATAAGCCCTCAAGCATACCCTGTGGCTACAGAATGCAATTTTTTCACTATAGAATGGTCCCAGCACAACCCTAAAAAATGTAAAATAATTTTCCCACTATAGAATGGCGTCGTTTTTCCAAGCACGACTGCACATAAGATGACATAAGACCGCTTTAAAACGAAGTGCACGACTATGTTAAAATAGCCAACATAATTTCAACATCCGAGCACAGGTGGAACACAAGTACTCCCATAGGACAACAGGACAGGCAGTACAAAATGCAGTAGCACAACAGCCAGCTTTTTTCTGTAATACTTCCACTATAAAATGTAGAGCCTATAGAATTGTTAGCACAACCCTGATATAGGTGGGTAGGCACCCTATAGAATTGTTGGCATAACTCTTATATAGGTGGCGTATGCTCACTATAGAATTGTTTCACAGGGATCCCCTATAAAAAGCCGAGCACGAGAAAACTTTTCTATATTAAAACACCCCTGTGCCAACCGTTTTAAGGCAAGCACAAGTTCACCCTTTCTATAGTGGAAATTCAAACAGGGATCTTTTACGCAGATAGTGTTTTTACAAGGAGAGGTCGTTGCACAGAGAAGCTTGTACGCAGAGAAGCCTTTACGCAGAGCGGCTTTTACACACAGAAGCCTTTCCACACAGCAGCTTTTACACACAGAAGCTTTTAAACACAAACCCTTTTACACACCGAAGCTTGAAGACCCTTCGCACACAGAAGCTTTTACACGCCGAAGCTTTTACACACAGAAGCTTTTACGCAGATAAGCCTTTACACAGAACAAGCTTTTACAGAGAAGCCTTTACTTTACACACAGAAACTTTAACACACAGAGGCGTTTACACACAGAAGCCTTTATACAAAGAGACTTTTCACACATAAGCCTTTGCACAGAGAAGCTTTTACAGATGCAGAAGAAGATTTTACGCAGGGAAACTTTACACAAAACAACTTTTACACGCAAATGCATTTTACACAAAGAAGCTGTTACACCCGGATGCCTGTATATACTCACCCGGGAACCTTTACACAAAGAAGTTTTTACACATAAACGCTTTTACACACAGAAGCTTTTACACACAGATGCTTTCTCACAGGGCAATGTTTACACACAGGAGCTTTTACACCGAGGGACTTTTACATACTGCCACCTCTACACAGAGGCGCTTTTACACACAGATGCGTTTAAAAACTGCTGCTTTTTCACAGGGCGGCTTTTACACACAGGAGCTTTTACACAGAGAAGCTTTTACACACAGATGCCTCTACACAAAGAAGCGTTACACAAAGAAGCTTTTAAGCATAGCCGTTACACACAGAGGCTTTTACACACAGCGGGTTTTACACAGAGAAGCTTTTACATACAGATGCCTTTGCACATAGAAGCTTTTTACACCGAGAAGCTTTTACACACAGTCACCTTCACGCACGCAGAAGCTTTGACGCACAAAGGCCAAATTGCACACAGATGCTTTTACACAGAGAAGCTTTTACATACAGAGAAGCCTTTAGACGGAGCAACTTTTACACACAGACGCCTTTACACACAGAATCCTCGCCACAGAGCAGATCACCTGTAGATGCAAAAGACGATGTAGGTGATGATGATGATGATGATGGTGATGATGATGATGATGCCGCTGACGATGATGATCATGATGCTGATGATGATGATGATGATGGTGATGGTGATGGTGATGATGATGATGATGACCATGACGGTGAGAATGATGATGATGGCGATGACGATGATGATACTGTCTGTGATGTAGGTGTATTGTGTAGATGAAGTTGATAGAGAAGAGGGTGTAGATTATGTAGAGGAGATGGTGTAGAAGACGCAGATGGTGTAGAGGATGTAGGTGATGTGGATGATGATGTATGGTATGTAGATGACATGAACAATTGGATTTGGCAGCAGTTCTTTGGATAAAAACGCTTTGCAGGAGCTTTCGGGAATGAAAGAAAAAATAGCTGGTTCGAGAGGCCCGCGAGGGTTCGAGAAAAATTTTGCTGCGCTATAGATAACAATCAGCAAACCACTTTGAAAGAAGTTGAAATGGTTTCAGAACCTCCGCATGACGCGAAATTCCCGTAATTTGGACAAACAAAACCAGTCCATTGAAACATGTTGCCGTTTGAAAACATTAACAAAAGGTCAAAAAAGCAGGCGATTGAGAGCGTTTGGTTTTGCTTGGCGCATTTTACTTCTTTCCGTTTTTGTTTTTTGGTTGTTCGCTAACATTACTGCATCAAGCTTGGGAGTCTTCAAATCAACCACTTCTTGCATTGCAGCGAGTTGTCCTGAGCCAATCTATTAGTTGCACACAGGGAGCGTGCGAAACATTTTTGAAAATTCAACCTCCCAAAATGGGCTTTCAATTTCTGGTAGGCAAGCAGGTCTGGGTGCTGTTTGAATAGAAGTTGAAGTTGAAACCATTTAAACTACTTCGAACTACAAACCACAATTTGCACTTTGCCGTAAGCTATTTCCAGTGGCAGGCCCATCTGTCTATGACCATTGTCCCGGATGCAGCACAAAAAGCAAAAGCCCGACACAGCCATCTGGGAAACAAGAGTTCTGCCAAAAGTAAAGAACGAAGTCTACACGCTTGGCAATTACGATGGCCCCCCATCTGCTTCAAAAAAAATCGGGTTCAAACCAACCTCTGAGCCCTTCTAAGCCCCTGACGATAATCAGCACGATTTTGGGAAGGCCGGCATTCAGAATGAGGGAAAAGTTGAGCGCTTGGGTTTCAAATGCAGCAGCCATTGTGAAGCAAACCAGCGAAGTGACGGGCATGATCCATGCAGCCAGCTCCAGCTTGCCCAAGAGCATGTTGGACTTCTGCATGATAAATTGCAACATGACCCAGCGCTGAGAAGCAATCAAAAGGGTCGTGAGCTGCAATAGTGTTCCAGAAATCTGATGGCTGACAGGAATGACAAACACAGGGGAAGCCCTGGAACCTTGCGCAGTGCCAGCGTGGGCGCTGTATCCATCGTGAGCATTGTGTGGCGTCTTGGTCGCATCTGAACCTGTGACATGCGCTGCCTGCGAAGCCCCCAAACCAGTGAGGAAACCTCCCGTCACTTGAAGGCCCGCACTGAGGATTCGAAGCCGGTCCAGCCTCTCCAAGCCCCAAAACTGCGCAGAAAGCATCATAAAGAACACGCTCGTTGAGTTCAGGATTGTACGGGCTGAAACCGATAAGAACTCCAACGACTTGTTGGACATTCCAATTTCAACGCCCTGCAAGACACCGAGGAAAAGCAGCTGACACACATCTATTCTCCGCAGGCTGTGGTTGGCCCAGAATTTGCCTTTCTGGCAATAGCAGGCGCACATCGAAATGCAGCCGCAGGCTCCATTGGTCAAAGCGGTCAAAGCAAACGGAAACTGATACTGGCCTTGGGTTCCAACTGTCTGCTTCATCACCACGGTGATGGCCGCAGAAACTGCCCACCAAATAACCACCAGCATGCACATCTGGCCCTTCCAGCCCATCAGTTGCGAGAACTTCTGCCCATACATGTCACCTCAGATAATTCCTTCTCTTCCGTCGTCTCATAAGTTGCAAATGCAAGCCGGGAAGGGGAAGCAAAGGTGGGTGTGAAAAACTCGAAACTTGAGCTGCTTGAGTGTGAAAAGGGCTGACCTGACAAACCCCTGCACTGACCCAATCCCGACAGCCCATCTTCAAAGGCATAAACGGGCATCAAACTCTCACCTATTATGCCAAACCACCAAGAAAATCCCGCGGCGCCCCCAAAAACATCAAAGTTCATCAAAAAGCCCCGGCCAATCAACAAACGCGTCAGGCTTGGAAGGCTGAGTGCTGGATCGCCTTCTTTGAACATCTGCTGGCTTTCGCTGCTAATCAAGCTTGAACATTTCACATGTGCCGCAGCAGCTTAGGCATCTTTTCTGCTCTTGACTCCATGCTCGAGCCTAACAGAGGACGCCATCAACTTCAAAATGCAGCAGCACTTGAATGCTTCAAACAGATTCAGCTCGTTGTCTGGCTTGTTTGCGGTGGTCTTCCAAAAATGGAAACAGTCCAGCTGAATCCTCAGGGCCCTGCTCGTCCTCTTTGGCAGATGAGGCCTCCGGCAAAATGAAAATGCCAACATTCCGAAATTGAACATACCCTGTAAGGCCACCGCAGAAACTGGGGGAATTCGTGCGCAAATTGGTTCCTCTCGCCTCAGCAGAGCAACAGCTTGCCTGATCTGCCCTGGAACTACACAGACAACTTTCTTGCAATGGCATGAGTCAACGTGCCATGCGTGCCCAAGGCGGAAACCATTTGAAAGCCTCGACCAAAACGTTCTCAGAAGAGCTGGCCTTAGGAGGCGCTGCGCGTGAATTTGCGAGGGGGTTGATGCTGTGCTGAACTGCCTGAAGCGGAGGTCGTTTCAAAACAACTTTTTGCCAGGATTCTGAGCTTCTTGCTCACTAAGGCCTGAAGACCGGCTCTCAAGATCACGCAGCAACCCAACCTCGTTGTGAAGCGCTGTAACTGCATCTGTGCTATGGAAGCAATGTTGTTGGAGGAGCAGAACATTCGGGCGCACACCTCAATGAAAATGCGTGAGTCTACAAGGCAGACGGGATGACAAGACCCCGACAAGCTTGATTCTATACTCAGGGCCGACCTCCTCAAAATAGCGCGCTGCGGCACCAAACTGTGGAAGCAAAATACCGCAGGAATAAAGTGCCAACTCTCAAAGCCGGCCTCCTGCCGAGCAGCAGTAGGAGGGGCTCGGGAGCTTGCGCGTACGGACAGCTCCGTACCGCGATATGCAGCTGCATCCCATGGCCGAACCTCCTCAACTTTGGCGACGGGGCGCAGAACTCATAAACAGTGATGGCCCTAACAGCAAAAATGAGCCGTTTGGGGTGTAAGCTCAAGCTTCGACCTAAGGAATAGCAATTTTCATTGGCCTTTAATGTTGGTTGGTTCATGTCAATTTTTCCAAGCAGCACTTGGAAGCTGAAGCAGAGGCGGAGGCCTGCAATGCCAACCCGCTGGAAGAGCATGCAAGGAGCACGCGCCAGAAAATCACCCAGGTGAATCTCCCGCGCCAGGTTGAAAGGCAACCAAAGCTATGCCAGGGCTTTCATGACTGCGAACCGCGAATCAAAAAGCGAAAGAGACATGGTTATTACTTGGCGCGGCATGAAGCAGGACGAAAATCTGGGACGGAAAGCACTTGCAGGGCACAAAGACCGAACGCAACACCCAAAACCTGGGGAAGGAAATCACTCCCAAAAATGCTGATTCGCTTTTTGGCTCGAATTTTAAAGCCGTGCTTGCTTATTCAACACAGGTGAGCCCCACACACCAAACTGAAAAAACTTTAAGGCATTGAACAAGTTATGTTTTTGGCGCACGGTCTGCCAAAGACAACAAAATTGGCCGTGGTCGAGAGGATTGGGCGTTCGAAACCCTACAGAATACGTACTGGAGACAGCGTTGCTGCATTGAAAAGAACCAGAATGGCCAACACCTCACATAATGTATCTGACATATATTGGCACCATAGCTCTGTGGGCCTGCCTGAGCAAGTGCCGCTTTTACCACTTGGATAATCAAGAAGTGCCATGGTAGAAACAGGCCAGGGCACACGGTTTTTAGCGTCGCACGCTTGGAACCACAGCGCGTTAAGTGTGCCAAAGCACGGCTGGCCCCGGGGAGCAAGGGGGCAAACGAAGCCAAAACATGATTTCTCAAGCCTTCTTTCCTGCGCCGCCCGCCTCCACTCTCCTGCAAGCCGAAGCCCGCGGCGTACCTGCCCAGTCACCTGCGATGCAGCTGAATCCACACTTGAAGAAAATGGTGAATCTGTAAAGCCGACCCATAAGGTCGCATTCTTTCCTCTTGGCGAAGCAAGGCATGGATGTCTGAAATGGAACTAGACGATGGATGGCTGGAGAGCGCAGAGGAGCATAGTTACTCAGGTGCGTACCGAGGTCTCACGCTGAAAAAAAGTGTAAGTACGTAAGAAACATGTTACCAGTAGTACCCGCACGAGGCGGGGCGGAAGTTGCCTTAAAGATATATATAAGACCTTTCTCATCTATAGAACTTGCATGCGCCGTGCGCCAGCGAAGCCCGTGCGTGCGT